GAAATTTTGGAGGAATGGAAAAAACCAGCTCCCTTTTCCCATGAAAATGGAAATTCTGAAAAAAATTGAAGTATCTGCAGTAGTTACTTGCTTATTAAAACTAAACTTTATTTACTTCTTTAAGAAGGAGAAATATATTCTGTATAATTTAACTAGCACATAAAAGGTACTGTTGAATATATTAATGAAATAGATAAGTACCGATTCTTTAGTTTAAATTCAGATGATAATGATGAACATAGTTAGTATTAGGAAAGAAGCTGCAACTTCACACTAAGGTATTTAAGTGTATTTTTTAACCTCTTGGCACATAGGAAACTATTATAAAATGTTGAAAATACAAAGCACCACTATTGTTACAAACTAAAGGGAAGATTATATTTCACAAAGGGTATGTAAACAGACCTGGCTTAACATTATCATGCAGACAGTGGCACCATTTCAGCTTTTGGTGGGGGAAGAAGGGAGTGAGAGCCAGGGGAACGGACTGAACAGACAGAGGACAGAGACTTCAGCAGTGTTACTGAGTATGCTCAGTACAAGCCAAGCACCAAATGGAGGGTGAGGGGAGAACCAACCTCATCCGCCCTTCCTCACACATCATCTCTATCCAGGGGCTACTAAGGCATTGAAAAACTCATTCCCTACCCATTTTTGCTAATAGCCATTGATGGACCTTGAACTTATTTTGTTCTTATTGGAACCCTGTTATGGATTGGGCCTTTCCACCATCTCCGGGAAGATTTCCACAAGTTAACTATGAAAAAATAATTTTGTTTGTGTTAAGTCTGCTGCCTATAACTTTAATTGGGTCAGCTTCTTGGGTTCTGTTAGTGAAGGAATGAATAACATATCCTTATTCTATTTTTCTACTCCGTTCATGATTTTCTACACATCTGGCATATCCCCTCACCCTTTAGTCAGTTCTTTTCCAAGCTGAAAATTCAGTCTTATTAATCTCTCCTCATATAGAAGCTGTTCCTTACCACTAATTATTTCTGTTGTCCTTTCTGTAGCTTTTCCAAATACAATCTATCTTTTTTTACAGGGGGTGACCAGATCTGTCTACAATATTCAAGATGTCGGCATAAAATGACTTTATAGAGAAGCAATATGCTATTTTGTGTTATCTATTTTTTTCCCCCTAAGGATTCCCAATATTCTGTTAGCTTTTTAGTTTTTAGACTGCCATTGCACATTGAACAAATGTTTTCAAGAACTATCCACAAAGATTCCAAGATCTCTTTCTTGAGTAGTAACAGCTATTTTAGAACCCAGAATTTTGGATATATAGTTAGGATTATATTTTCCCATGTGCATTACTTTGCAGTTATCAACACTGAATTCTATCTTCCCTTGTGTTGCCCAGTCACCTGGTTTTGTGAAATTCCTTTGTAACTCTTTGCACTCAGCTTTGGATTAGTCGCTGTTCACCCCTTTTTCACAAACATTTATAAGTTTGAAAGCATTGATCCAAAAGCAAATCCCAGCAGCGCAACTCTCAATCCTACTCTTTTTTTCCTCCTAGCTCTTAAGTGAAGTACCCAGCAATGATTTGAAGATGATGAAATGATCCTTCAATTATTTGAATGCCAAGCCTTTTCTTATTCTTAATCACCGTGCCTCCCTCTTTTTATAACAAACTCCCTGCCCCATGGGCAAAACTGTAAGCAGCTCAAACTCTGTTGCAGTTAAGATTTACCTCTGGAGTCAGGGCATGAAGCTTAAAGCAGACCTCAAGTATGAAATCCAGGGGTTTTAAATTCAAGAGGGGGGCTATTGTCCCCCCAGAGCCCAATAAATGGTGCCCTTACATGCAGATATAAACAACATTTATGTTTCTACAAGGGTTTCAATTCATCACAGTCATCTCATGTGATTAAGTCAAAAAATGAATCATGATTAAGCACAGTTTTAATCATGCAATTAAACAATAGATTACCAATTGACATTTATTAAATATTTAGGATGCTTTTCTACATTTCCAAATATATTTATTTCAATTGGAATACAAAATACAAAGTTTACAGTATTCACTTTGTATTATTTTTATTACAAATATTTGCATTATAAAAATGATGAACAAAATAAATATATTTCAGTTGACCTTGCACAAGTCAACTGTAGTGCAATCTCTTTATTGTGCAAGTGCAACTTACAAATGTAGATTTATTTTTGTTACATAATTGAACTCAGAAATAAAACAATGTAAAACTTTAGAGCCCATAATGCCACTTTTTCAGGCACTCACTACGAGAAACAAGTTTGTTTACCTTTACTGGAAATAATGCTGCCTTGGGGAAGAGTTGTATGTCTCCTGCTCTGTGTTTTACCCACATTCTGCCATATATTTCACATTACAGCAGTTTTGGATGCTGACCCAGCATATGCTGTCCATATTAAGAATATTTTTACTGCAGATTTGACAAAATGCAAAGAAGATATCTGAGACAGGTTGGATCATAGAAATCCCCTTGGAATTGTCCCCCAGTGTGCTGATCAAGCCTCTGATGCTCACCTTCCTGCTCTTTGGGGCTTCCCACCACTCTGTCCTAGTGGGCCAGAAGTTCTGGTTTCCCCCTGACGATGCTGAAGCAGTTCAGCTTTAAGAGGATTCAGCTATATAATCCAGGAACCACCCCCAAAATAGACCAAAACCCCAAATAAATCCATCTTATTCGGTGTAAAACTTTTACACTGAGAAAGCTTATAAGGTCACCTCCTTTTATCAATGAGAGACATGGACAGTGGTTGTTCTTCTGGCAGGTAATAATTATTTACACTGGGCTTGATAATAAACAAAAGTGTTTTTATTGCATATAAAACATAGGATTTAAGTGGTTGCAAGTAAAAACTAACAGGTTAAAGTAAGTTACTAAGTTAAAATAAACAAAAAATGCCAACTAGTTCTAATCCACTAAGAAACTTGTTACAGGCAAATTCTTACCCGAAACATCTGTTCTTATCTCAGACAGAGTATTTCAGGTCAGTGTTGATCTTTATTCTGGCCTGGGTCTACAGCTTTTTTCAGAGTTCTTTGTTGCCAAGTTTCTTCACATGTATCCTTTTAGGGTGGGTGAGAAAGTTTCACGGGACAGCTGAAGACAAAGACCTGATAGCTTTCCATTCCTTAAACAGACTTTCCCTCAGTGGGGCGACGTGGACGGGGGAGGAGGGAGGTGAGAGGTGGGAAGACCCTTTCTTTAGACTGCCCATCCCTAAGGAAAAATACCAGATTACAGATGGATTCCAATACCAGGTGGCATAGTCACATGTCTTTCTGGAATCAACAACGGTTAGGGCTTACAGGACAAACAAGACCTTTCACAGGTTGTTGGTTTGAATACAGAAACATTAAGTTCCTAAAGTATCACTAATGCCCTTCATTAGCACATTTAGAATTAAAATCACATTCACAATTCACATATCTAACTTCACATACAAGAACGACACATGTATAAAAATAGGATATACAGATTCAGCACTACATTACTTGTATTAAGTGAACTGAAAAAGAATATTTCTTTTATTTTTACAGTGCAAATATTTATAATAAAAAAGTGAGGACCATACACTTTGTATTCTGTGTTGTAAAAAAAATCCAAAAACATATATATATTTTTGTATTCTGGATGTTTATATGGATTCCATTTTTTTAAGAGCACAGCATTTTTAAGAACACAATTAATTACATGATTAGTCACAATTCATTTCCTTAATCACTTGACAGTCCTCATTTCTAGGGAAATATTTATTCATTGTGCTTACTTATTATTAGAAAGCATTTTGAAGGCCTGATAGGCAGAAGTAATGATATTATTTTAAACGTTCCTTTAAATATTTATTCACTCGTCATTCTGAGAGAAAATACGTCATATTAACAGTTTCTTTTCAATCTTCCCCAAAATTTCCAATCATTCCAGAAAAAGCCTCAGAAAAGAAATGCCATAAAAATTTTCCCAGCAAGATTTCAATTGTTCTTCTGGATCTCACATTTGAAGAGCTCTACTGATTTTCCTAAAAATCAGAAAACTGGAAAAGCCCTGAATGTTGTTCCTTACTCTCTGTGCTGTGACTCACCTAACAGTGCTGGGGTGGATTCAGAGCCAGCAGAAGGAGTCAGAGGTAGAGGAGAGAAAAGGAGACTTTGTTCTTTCCACACATGCTGTCTCCATAAGCCTGCTCCATATTTAGCGAAAGAGAGGTCAAGAGGATACCAGCCATAGGCTTGTCCCTTTCCATCAATGGGCACTGATGGAATTAAGCCTCCTTCACTGGAGGCTGAGGATAGTGAAAAGTGAAGGACACGGAGTGCCTGGCACAAAGGGAAGGAGAGAATGTGGGTGCCAAATACAGCTCCTGGTGTGAGGCAGGAGAATGCATGGAGCCCTGAGATATGCAGTGATCTGATATGTATGTATTACAGGACCATTTCTGTGCTCCATAAATGCAGGATATGAGGTGTAACTGTCACCAGAGAGTGTTACTTCTTTAGCTCAAGCTGTAGTAGTTTATGCTTTTAGCGTTAGAAGTTCCCAGTTCAGTCCCTGATGTATCAGCCAAGAAGGCAGCCATCTCACACCTAGCTCATGGGGCAAATGCAAGTGCCTCTGGTATGTTCCATGAGCTTGGAGTATGGACACAATGACATGCACCACCCGCTACTGAATAGTTACCCCCTGCTTTTTATGTTTCGTCCTTTCCAGAGTCTCCCCTGAGGGGATCTTTGACACCAGAACAGGATAGGACATGTTAGTCTGTAACTATAAAAACAACCAGGACACCTGTGGCTCCTTAGAGACTAACACTGTATTAATTTATTAATCATGAGCAACTATTTATTACCTAATAACCGTGTTCATCTCTAAGTTGCAACAGGACTCCTTCCTTGTTCTCTTGCTTTGGATTTTGTCACCAACTGCAAGAAGAGGAAACTAATAAAAAGGAGAACACAAGGGAAGGGGAAATTTTTTCTTTTGAAATTTGAATCTTGCCACATAGTGAAATTAAACTTACACCTTATCACACACAACCGTCATAGTGACAGAAGCTAGTTTGTTTTAATTATAAACACCAAACTTAATCACGTCTGATAGGGCTATTTTGAATAAAGAGGGAAGGAACCTTCTAGGATATATAAAGCTCTTCAAAACAACCATCTTCTCAGAGAAGAGAAACTGAAGACAGGTGAGTGAAATACTAAGCTCATTAGGAGTGGGACTAGTCTCTATTCTACTCATTAGTAAAATCCAATGGGTGGTAATGGAAGGCCATTTCTTGTCTCATTTACTTCAATGAAACTCTGCCTGAGAAATGACTCCATCATTTGCTCTTTAATAGTTGTTAATGTGTCTCTGCTGGACATTGAGTTCTGGATAAGAGGCATCTGCTGATTATTCAGATTACTTTAGACTAGAAAACTAGATTCACAGAGCAGCTACAAAGGAGTTTAAAGATGATAATCCCCTCTGCACTGCTCAAATAAAAAGGTGAATTTAGCAAACATCTGCACAGAGTATGCAAGATATCACGACACAGAAAAAAGTGCATTTATAGCAGTAGTGGGTCATATTAACACCATGAAGAATTTAACGTCCTGATTGAATATTACAAGGGTTTGTATTTAGAAATAAGATAAAATAAGGAACTGGGGAAACTTTTGGGATAGGGGGAGCCTATATAGGAAGGATGGGCTCCACCTAAATCAAAGTGGATCCAGACTGCTGGTACTTACCATTAAAAAGGTCGCAGAGCAGTTTTTAAACTAAGAGATGGGGGAAAGCCTATTGGTGCAGAGGAACACATAGATTTGACGAATGAGATTTACAGGGACGTTGGAACAGCCAGTCCATTATATTTTGTAATAACAAGTGTGCTCAAAAGACATGGAATACCTATTTCGGGATACTACTGATATCCCAAAATAGCGCTGCCATGTAGACGTAGCCTAATAGAACAGTGATGTAACAATGAACAGCATTAACTGGGACGACTTTAAATGAGGAGTTACTGTATCTCCCACCTATCACTCTCCTGCTGTCATCTTCCCCTGCTGCGTCCCAAGTGTAAACTTAGTTTGGAGTGTAGGTAGTTAGAATGTGTCAAGTCCATCATTTCTTAGGAAAAATCAAAATTCCTATCATCCCCTCCGCTGTATTTCTGAAATATCAGAAGGAAAGGGAGGATTCTTTATGCGGCTGCAGCAGCAAATAATGCTACAAGAGCTTCCTTGATTTTACTCTCCATTCTTGCTGTCCTAGAAAATAAGGATCTATTATCGACCACCTGACCAGGACAGTAATAGTGACTATGAAATGCTAAGGGAGATTAGAGAGGCTATCAAAATAAAGAACTCAGTAATAGGGGGGGATTTCAACTATCCCCGTATTGATTGGGTACATGTCACCTCAGGACGAGATGCAGAGATAACATTTCTTGATACCTTAAATGACTACTTCTTGGAGCATCTGGTTCAGGAACCCACAAGGGGAGAGGCAATTCTCGATTTAGTCCTGAGTGGTGCACAGGATCTGGTCCAAAAGGTAACTATAACAGGACCGCTTGGAAATTGTGACCATAATATAATAACATTTAACATTCCTCTGGTGGGAAGAACACCTCAGCAGCCCAACACTGTGGCATTTAATTTAAAAAAGGGGAACTACGCAAAAATGAGGAGGTTAGTTAAACAGAAATTAAAAGGTACAGTGACTAAAGTAAAATCCCTGAAAGCTGCATGGAAACTTTTCAAAGACACCATAATAGAAGCTCAAATTAAATATATACCCCAAATTTTCAAAAAATAGGAGAAGAACTAAAAAAGCGCCACCGTGGCTTAACAACCATGTAAAAGAAGCAGTGAGAGATAAAAAGACATCTTTTAAAAAGTGGAAGTCAAATCCTAGTGAGGTAAATAGAAAGGAGCATAAACACTGCCAAATTAAGTGTAAAATGTAATCAGAAAAGCCAAAAAGGAGTTTGAAGAAAACTCAAAAGGTAATATGAAGAACAGCTAGCCAAAAACTCAAAAGGTAATAGCAAAATGTTTTTCAAGTACACCATAAGCAGGAAGCCTGCTAAACAACCAGTGGGGCCACTGGACGATCAAGATACAAACGGAGCACTTAAGGACGATAAAGTCATTGTGGAGAAACTAAATGAATTATTTGCTTCAGTCTTCACAGCTGAGGATGTTGGGGAGATTCCCAGACCTGACCCGTCCTTTGTGGGTGACAAATCAGAGGAACTGTCACAGACTGAAGTGTCATTAGAGATGGTTTTAGAATTAATTGATAAGCTTAACAGTAACAAGTCACCGGGACTAGATGGCATTCACCCAAGAGTTCTAAAAGAACTCAAATGTGAAATTGCAGAACTATTAACTATGGTTTGTAACCTATCCTTTAAATCAGCTTCTGTACCCAATGACTGGAAGATAGCTAATGTAACATCAATATTTAAAAAGGGCTCTAGAGGCGATCCCAGCTGTTACACACTGGTAAGTCTAACATCAGTACCGGGCAAATTAGTTGAAACAATAGTAAAGAATAAAATTCTCAGACACTTAGAAGAAGATAATTTGTTCGGCAAAAGTCAACATGGTTTCTGTAAAGGGAAATCATGTCTTACTAATCTATTAGAGTTCTTTGAGGGGAGTCAACAAACATGTGGACAAGGGGGATCCAGTAGATATAGTGTATTTAGATTTCCAGAAAGCCTTTGACAAGGTCCCTCACCAAAGGCTCTTACGTAAATTAAGTTGTCATGGGATAAGAGGGAAGATCCTTTTATGGATTGAGAACTGGTTAAAAGACAGGAAACAAAGGGTAGGAATAAATGGTAAATTTTCAGAATTGAGAGGTGTAACTAGTGGTGTTTCCCAAAGGTCAGTCCTAGGACCAATCCTATTCAACTTATTCATAAATGATCTGGAGAAAGGGGTAAACAGTGCGGTGGCAAAGTTTTCAGACAATATTACACTGCTCAAGGTAGTTAAGACCAAAGCAGACTGTGAAGAACTTCAAAAAGATCTCACCAAACTAAGTGACTGGGCAACAAAATGGCAAATGAAATTTAATGTGGATAAATGTAAAATAATGCACATTGGAAAAAATAACCCCAACTATACATATAATATGATGGGGGCTAATTTAGCTATAACTAATCAGGAAAGAGATCTTGGAGTCATCATGGATCAGGAGCAGCCCAAGGCTGGTTGCAGCAGCTGGAGCCCTAGCCAGAGCGGCACAATCGGCGCCCCTGCCTGCACGGCCGTCAATGGCCATGATGTCATCATGGGGCACCCTGGCACCCCGTGACGTCATCATCGGGCGCCCGGGCCAGCGGCACCCTGGGCAGCTGCCTAGCTCACCTAGGCTCACGGGCTGCCCCTGTCATGGATAGTTCTCTGAAGACGTCCACGCAGTGTGCAGCGGCAGTCATAAAAGCAAACAGGATGTTAGGAATCATTAAAAAAGGGATAGAGAATAAGACGGAGAATTTCTTATTGTCATATAAATCCATGGTACGCCCACTTCTTGAATACTGAGTACTGATGTGGTCTCCTCATCTCAAAAAAAGATATACTGGCATTAGAAAAGGTTCAAAGAAGGGCAACTAAAATGATTGGGGTTTGGAATGGGTCCCATATGAGGAGAGATTAAAGAGACTGGGACTTTTCAGTTTGGAAAAGAAGAGACTAAGGGGGGATAAGATAGAGGTCTATAAAATCATGAGTGGTGTGGAGAAAGTGAATAAGGAAAAGTTATTTATTTGTTCCCATAATATAAGAACTAGGGGCCACCAAATGAAACTAATGGGCAGCAGGTTTAAAGCAAATAAAAGGAAGTTCTTCTTCACATAGTGCATAGTCAATCTGTGGAACTCCTTGCTAGAGGACGCTGTGAAGGCTAGGACTATAACAGGGTTTAAAAGAGAACTAGATAAATTCATGGAGGTTAAGTCCATAAATGGCTATTAGCCAGTATGGGTAAGGAATGGTGTCCTAGCCTCTGGTTGTCAGAGGGTGGAGATGGATGGCAGGAGAGAGATCGCTTGATCATTATATGTTCGATTCACTCCCTCTGGGACACCTGGCATTGACCACTGTCGGCAGACAGGATACTGGGATGGATGGACCTTTGGTCTGGCCCAGTATGGCCATTTTTATGTTCTTATGTAAAATTAGCAATGGGGAATGAATTATGAATGTCAACAAATCTGAATTATTGCTGAATTCAGGATTCTGAATTTATTCTCCTGGCTCTCTTCTATAGTGTAATAACCTTATTTGTGTGAGAGAGGCAGAGCTACAGTTATGGCCTCAGTCCCAGTAGTTATACAGGCAGTCCCCGGGTTACGCGGATCCGACTTATGTCGGATCCGTACTTACGAATGGGGCTTTTCTCGCCCCGGAGGACGTGGGTGGCAGGACCACCCAGATGCGCCACGGTCCCACCACCCGTGTCCACTGGGGTGAGAAAAGCTGCTCTGCGTCTCCCTGGTCTGCTGGGGGGGGCCCCAGCAGACCAGGGAGATGCGGAACAAAGCCGCAGAGGACGCAGGCGGCGGGATCGCCCAGACGTGCCGCAGTCCCGCTGCCCATGTCCTCCGCAGCAAGAAAAACTGCTCCACATCTCCCTGGTCTTCTGGGGGGGCCCCCAGCAGACTAGGGAGATGCGGAGCAAAGACGTGGAGGATGTGGGCGGCGGGTCCCGCTGGCCACGTCTCCCTGGTCTGCTGGGGAGGGGGGGGGCTAGTGCCCCCCCCCCAGCAGATTAGGCTTTTAAGCAGCTAGTACGGGGTTGCCTCACCCCGTTTGTAAGTA